TTTTGCATCTAAGTGAGAAAAATAATAATAATTCCATTTCCGATCCTGAGATCTACTCGGGGTTTATTTTGTTCGATGTTCGATAAAAAGACCCTACCCAATAAATCCTGAAACTTTGAAGTCCCTCTGATTGCTTGAAGTATTTTTCAGAAATTTCCAAAGGCGATTCATTAGAAATTTTGCATGATTTTTTTGCATCTAAGAGAGAAAAAAATCATTATTCCATTCCCGATCCTGGGATCCACTCGTGGTTTGTTTCGTTCGATAAAAAGACCCTATACTCAATAAATCCTGACAGTTTGAAGTCCCTTTGATTGCTTGAAGTAATTTTCAGAAGCTTACAAAGGCAATTTAATAGGAATTTTATATGAATTTTTTGCATCTAATATCTTACAAGAAGCTTACAAAGGCAATTTAATAGGGATCCGAATACACATTTTTTCCAAAGATAGGGATATTACAAACTAGTCAGTTAATAATACCCTCGATAATACCTATATACAGTGGCGCAGCCAGAAATTTTGTCTGGAGGGGGCCATGCAGAAAAAATTATAGGAGTTTACATAGAGACCACCTATCCTTTAGACACCGGCGTATATAAGGGGGGGTAATGGGGGTAATTACCCCCGCCAAGATCGTTGCGATGGACGGAAAATATGTACCCTACTCCCTACAAATAAATCTATTGTTTATATTTTTATTTTTCAACAACTGGCCCTAACTTGTTTTCTAGTTTGCAGTGTCCGCACTGTCCGCATGCCATTTATAGCGACTTCTATTAAAAAAGATAGTGCAGACTGAATGTATTCCTGTCTTTCTCTACTAGCTTGCATAAGAAAGAGATAATAATACATTTTTTGCATTGGTTCTACCAATAGAATTCGCTATAATTAAAAAGTTTTTGGGGAATCTCAGAATTCGGTCTCGTTATTTGTTGGTAGTACAGAATATAATTACGTAACAAGTGCGGAAAATCAACTTTTCTGCACGAGTCTGTTGTTCTTATTCACCGAAAGACGCGTAGCGGAATTCAGTGAAGCAACCGAGTGCGGAAAACAGATTTTCCGCAACTGTTAGGTACAATAGTTTTTCTACAGTTTAATAAATAAGTATACCTACATAATTTGTAGTGATTTATTTATTGATTTTGTTTTGACAGCCGTGCGGAAAAGGTCTTTTCGCACCGATATCCGTGCGGAAAAAATTTCGCCGCACCGCGCGAAAAAATCGATTTTCCGCACTGTTAAGCAATGCGGAAAATCGGATTTGCAAATGCAATTTTCCTCACTCTCATAGAAAAAAAATGTTTTGAAGGTTCCAAATAAACGTTTTTGGGCGTGGCTCCCGAAAAAAAAATTCGTCTCCAGCGGGCTGGCTTGGGCTGATTACCTCCCCCCCCCCCCCCCCCCAGACGCATGGGCTGGATACGCCGGTGCCTTTAGAGGGGGTGTAATGTAAACCAAAAATCAAAATTTCAGTATAACAAATTCTAAGAATATTTCAAGCCGTATCATTCTATGCCTAACGGTTTTTGAGATATTTGCAAAATAACCGTGGAAACGATGCGTCACAACCGCTCGGATACCGTAGACTCAGAATAAAAAAATCATACGATTCTCACTTGAATACGGGTTGACTCAAATAGCTGAAACGAAACATGGCTTTAGTTTTGAACCAAAGTATGTACCTACATACACAAAAGCAGAATCTGTTGGGCTCCACACGCGAATGTGACGTCACGTCTACGTTTTGTTGCAAACACTAAAGACTGATATCTTTTGATAGAAATCCGGCAGAAAGGCGAGGTTTTCGATGTTGTTCTTGGAATTTTTTTACATATTATAAACCAGATACCAGATACTTATTTTTGGTTTACACCTCATAAGCTTTTTATGATATGAGCAGTTTACAGCTTTTGTCTATTTCATCTTCATTATTTTTCTATTTTTCTATGAAGCCTTGGGGGGGCCCGGGCTCCCTGGCCCCCTCCGTGGCTGCGCCACTGCCTATATAGATACGCATACAAACAATCCAAATAAATAAAAAAAGATACCATATTACAATATACAATTTTTCCAACAGGCTACAGTCGAATAAAGGTATCAGTACACCGAGCTCCCATGACGCTGCATCTCTAGAAAACGTTTTTGAAGGTCGTTGCAGAACCTCAACAAAGACGTTGAAATATCAACTCCAAGAATGTTCTTGTTTATTATCTTGGGCTTTGGGGGCTGTATAAGAAAAACAGCCAGTAAATTTTGTTATTTTATGCTGGGGAATGTCATAATTATTGGCGTTTCTCAGATTTGCAGCGTCTAGCTCGTTTCTTCTCGTCAGTGCATCAAAAAAGTACCTACTCTAAAGCAGGAGTTTTGTAGCCGTTGAATTTTTTTCATAAATTCACAAGACAAACAAAAAACAGACGAACAATAATCCAAATGACACAAGACCAATCAATTGACCATTTGGTATCAGATGGGAGACAGTATACTTAAATTTATATAGTGACTTTAATTTTGAGTAAACTAAACATATTTTTTTATTAACATGAGCCAGAACTGGGCAAAACTCTCACTGGAGAGGTTTGAAGCACTAAGCCCTTAGCCCTTTCTCAAAGTGCTTTCAATTTCAAGCACAAACTCCTTTTCATTTTCAAAAGTGCTTCACAAGCACAAAGCCCTCAAAGTGCTTTGGGCTTGGCAAGCACAAAGCCTCAAAGTGATTTGAAAAGGGCTTGAAGCACATCAAAAGTGCTTGGGGTGCCTTAAAAAGTACTTTGAAGCTCTTCAAATGTGCTTCAAGCTCTTTAAATATGCTTGAAGCTCTTCAAATGTGCTTGAAGCTCTTTAAATGTGCTTGAAGCTCTTTGAATGTGCTTGAAGCTCTTTAAATGTGCTTCAAGCTCTTCAAAAGTGCTTGAAGCTGTTCAAAAGTGCTTGAAGCTCTTTAAATGTGCTTGAAGCTCTTGAAATGTGCCTAAAGCACTTGAAATGTGCCTAAAGCACTTTGAATTGGTGGAACAATTCTCAAAGTTGCAAAAACTACCGCGTAATACACTCGTCAGTTGAATTAGTATAGTAGAGGTGAACTTTAAATTTTACAGAGTAGCAGTAGTATTTTATTTTATTTTTTGAGATGAAGTTCAGGGGTACTTGAGGTAGTTGGGGCACTACATGGTAATTCAATTTTGAGGTTTTTTCAATGAGGAAAAGTGGAAAAAATTCCAGTGATAAAGTTAAATAGGGTACCTTATATAAATTAATTATTTATTTGAATAATCAGATCTTTCATTTTTTTTTTTTAATTCAATTCTAAGCTCAAACCCAAAACCTCCATTATTAATGGAGAGAAAAAATTTGAGGGTCCTAGTTCAAATAATAGAAAAAAATTAAGCCACAGAACACATTGATCCAAAATTTTTAGGTGGGGGATAGGTTAAATGATGGTCAATTCAAATTCCTTTCAAAGTGCTTCAAGCTCTTTCAAAGTGCTTCAAGCTCCCAAAAGTTCTTCAAGCCCTCTAAAAGTAATTGAAGCTCATCGAAAGGGCTTGAATTACTTTTTTTCAATTACAAATTACCAAGCATTTTTCTGATGTAATTGACTTTGCAAGTCCCAATTACAAATATATAAAAGGGCTTGAAGCACAGGGCTTCCAAGTACTCAAAGTGCTTCAAGCACTTTTACAAGCACAAAGCACTCAAGCCCTGCCCAGCTCATGATGAGCCTCAAAATTTAAAAAGGGATCTAACAAAACACCTAGATTTTTTATCTGTTCAGTTATTGGAATATCTTTTCATGAGCACTTTTACTTCCCATACACATAGCCATAGTTTTATTAGGGTTAAGGAAGAGACCATTATTCTGTGACCATTCGTGAATTCTTTGCAAAGTCATATTAAGCACATTCACAGTAGGAGATTCTCAGGATCACCAGAGAGATACACTTGTGTATCGACAGCATATTGATGGATTTTGCACATATCATTCCAGAATAATTCATGCAAATCTGTCACATAAATAGAAAAAAGTAAAGGACCAAGTGGACTTCCCTGCGGTATGCCCTCAGTTACTGATAGCTCTTGGGACACATCTCCATTCAGAGAGACTTTCTGAGACCTGTCGCTAAAATAGGCTATAAACCAGTCAAGTGCTGCCCCGTGGATTCCATAGTATTCAAGCTTTGAGGCCAGGAGGGAGTGATTCACTAGGTCGAAGGCATTTGAGTAATCCAGGGCGACCAAAAAAGGAAACTGACCTTGATCAGTTGCTCTGGATATATCATCCACGATTTTAGTCAGAGCACTTGAGGTGTCATGTCTCTTACGAAAGCCTGACTGAAGTAAGGGTATTATTTTGTTTACCTCAAAATATTCAGTGAGTTGCGATGCGACGATCTTTTCGAGAATTTTCATTATGATTGAAATTAGGCTAATAGGTCTTACATCTTCGTATTTTGACGCCACTGGAACCTTGGAAATGGGAATCACTAGAGCCTGTTTCCAGAGGAATGTCTTCCGTCTCTAATGAAAAGTTAATTATATGACAAAGAGCATATTCTTGCAGTATGGTAAAACAATCATCGGCATCTTCAGAGTGACTCCATCCAGACCCGAGGCATTCGATTGTATGTCAGAAACTTGCTCTTCTATCATGTCGGCGGTTACAGGAGTGAAATTGAAGTTCAGTCCAAGCCTGAAACTATTCTCCTGGAAGTGACTGCAAATATTCATTTTGATATCTATATTTCTAACCCCATTAACAAGGAAAGAATTTATATTGTTAGAGTTATTTATTTCTGGACCCAGTTCACGAACAGACTTTCTATGAATATGGCAAGTATCCAGTTCTCTCCACATCTTCCGAGGACACGATTTGTTGCCAATCACATGAGTTTGAATATATATGTCCTTTTCTCACGTTGTACAGCAGAGATATAGTTGCGCAAAGTCTTTGTAATATTCAAGCTGTATCTGATTTTTAATTCTCAAGCATTCTTTTTAAGCCTCTCTTTTAAGTTTGCTCATTTCCTTAACAGTAGAAGTTATATAAGGACGTGCTGGATTTCTACGAGCAATGGTCGACTTAAATGGAGCATGCATATCGAAAAGAAAGTTTACGGCATTGGTGAGGTATTGCTCTTTTTCTGACAAATAAGGAATCACTTGGATAAAGTCCCACTCTACGGTGGAGGCATCCTGCCCAAACAGAATAGTATCGAAATATCGAAAATTCCTGAATGTTACTTTTCGCGGTTTTATGGATTTTATTACAAAGTCCAACCTACAGAAGGTCAATCTTTGATCAGTCAGATTGAGAAGATCAGCAGTTCCACATTCAAGTAGAGAAACAAAGTTCGTCATAGCTATGATATTGATTAATGTTGATGATTGATCAGAAACTCGCGTGGGCTCTTTGAGTGCTTGATTGATACCGTAGCAGTCAAACACTTGACTCAGTTGCCTTCGAAGTAAACAGTCGCTCCTTAAAAAGTCGACATTACCATCGCCGATCGCTACTAACTCGTCCTGAGTCAAATATGCCTGTCTGATGCATTCCTCGATTGCCACAAGTGATGCAATTGGAGCGCCAGGGATCCAAAGTTGTTCCACACGGGTCTGCACTAACACATCAAAACTCAGAGTCTTAAAATGAAAGTCTCCCCTAATGTACACGAGCGGACCACCACCACTTTGTCCAACTCGATCCAAACGGACTATCCTATAGCCAGGAATATTTAGGTGCTCAGACATGACTGAGCCATCAAGCCATGTTTCTGAAATTCCAATTATGTCGAAGTCACGTTCTTTTATGATTGCAGAAATATCGTCAAAAGATGGCACCAGGAATCGAATTATTCACTTGGCCTATATGAAGTCTATGATTATTTTGTGTTAGTCTTTTCGTGCATCCGTAGGTGACCCCTCTAAAAAAGACTCTCGCACAGCGGCACCCTCAGCATGGGCTTCGACAGTTTCTTCGTTGTTCTCTCTAACACAAGTTCGGACTGACAACAATGACTTGATCTCAATACCTGATCGTCAACATCAGCATGTACGTCAAAACAAAGAAACTGAGCACACAGATAACGAGCCAGACGCTGCCTGCTATCATATGAAGGGTCTCCATACCAAGACCTTTCTTCGTAGTGCATAAAACCGTCCATATTTATGAAAAATGAACTGTTAGCATCATTATGTATACATGTTTGTATGACGCAATTATTTTTATGTATGAAAGCGTTTAACACTCCTCTAGTAGTTGCAAAAGGAGAACTATCATATTTGTTTTTTCAGATAGCATCAATAAACCGTTCAAGCTCACTGGTGTAATTGGTTTCCCTCTCAAGGCATTTTCACAACCTGCGAAAATTATAACATGGTAGCCCTTCGACAGACGCCTGGGTGACCATATCTTCAATGAGCCATCCTTCTTCGTATTGACAATTCAAATCATACTTTGATCTTGTTAACCTTTTGTCCAGAGATGCACTTCCAATGACGCTATTCCTGTTACCTACAATAATTATCAGTTGTGGTTTTTTATTGTGTGTAGAGGTCTTTTCTGCTGCCACTACTTGACCTTCAGTCAACTTCTCAGATGCACTGTAATCACCAACTGCCCTAGACAAGTCCATCTTAGGATTGGCAATTTCTGCCGTGTATCGCTGATTGTCTTGTTCAATCATCCGGATAGCCTCCACCATCTCTCTATTTATTGTATTCATATCATCTAGATCTTTTTGTTTGATTTGGAACTCGGTATTCATGTCGCTAACCGCTGCATCCAGTGTTGCATTCCTCTTTTTCAATTCAGATATTTCAATAGTCAACTTGGCAATATAATCAGTTTTTTCTTTTAGTTGTTGTTTTACAAGAACGTTCTCTGCTTCCAGCACATCATCTATGAAATCTTGGGTAAGCCTTCTCTGCTTTTTTAGCAGCATTTCCTTTTCCTTGATTTCACTCTTCCGCTTCTCAACTTCTTTCCTCAAAGTCTACAACGCTTCCTCATGTGTAGCTTTGATTTCATCGATGTTTAATTCATTCTTCCTACAGATATCCCTAATTTCTCTCCGCAGAAGTTCTGTGACTCTGGAACACAATATTTTGTGACGCTCCAAGGATACGAATGGGGTCCTCTCAGTACAACTCTTGTGAAAAATGTTGAAGCACACTACACAATACACAATACAGAAGTATAGTCCAACACATACCATTTTAAAGTCACGTGATTTTTCTCTATCCTTGTTGAATACATCTCAAACAGCGGTGATAGTAAAATTGACAAAAAAAATTGCTGTCTAATTATTGTTCATAAAATTCTTACCTGAAATAGAATCCGTCACTGTCATCAATTAGTTTGTCAAAGTTATTTTAGAAAATGATACAACGAACAAACACAGCTAATAATTTTGACTATATTAACCTTTTTCCAACTCAAAAAGATGCAAATAGAAAACGGGTGCCCAATTCAAGTTCAGAATGTATTACAAGGGGCAGCAGAAGCGACAAAAGTGAGTCTCGCAACAATTGCAAGTATTAAAATTCTCATCTGATTGGTCAATACTACTTCAGAAACGCGTTTGTAAAATGCTAGTGGGAACATATCTTAAAATTCAATAGTAATTAACCACAAGTAGCTTTTTGTAGGTGATATCAATGACATAATCAACGAACATATGTTTTTTGCCACCAATATCACGTGACTTTAAAATGGTATTTGTCGGACTTTAGTTATCTGTCTTTCTAACTTTCGGACAACATTTAAATATGGTTTTAGATTCTGACATGGTGAAAACACTAACAATCTCTTGATGCCGGCCCTGTACCTGCGACAAAGATAGAAATCGCCCAAGCTGATGACTGAAACACATAAAAACATATTCAAAACAAGCTTGCTTGGCCGCCACGCCATATTGAATTTTCCTTTTTGACAGATGGATTAAATTGCCTAATTATTGTTCATAATATTCTTACCTGAAATAGAATCCGTCACTGTCATCATTTAGTTTGTCAAAGTTATTTTCGAAAATAATACAACGAACAAACACAGCTAATAATTTTGACTATATTAACCTTTTTCTAACTCGAAAAGAAGCAAATAGAAAACGGGTACCCAGTTTAAGTTCAGAATGTATTACAACAGACAGCAGATGCGACAAAAGTGAGTCTCGCAACAATTGCACGTATTAACATTGCCCTCTGATTGGTCAATACCCACATAACAGTGAAAGAACATTCATATTCTCAGAATATTCCCTCAAAGTGCTTTTTGGAATGTTCTTTTAGGAATGTTTAATGAATATTCTAAGATTGTTTCGATTGAAATATTCATTCAACGACATAATCAATGGACATACGTTTTTTGCCACCAGTATCACGTGACTTTAAAATGGTATTTGTCGGACTTTAGTAGTAGTAGTAGTAGTAGTAGTATGGTAGTAGTACTCTATTTTACTGAACTCTCCAGCGTTTAGGGTTTTCGAGAAAATCGAGTTTGATGTTTTGGACAAAATGTCGACCAAATTTCAGCTTTGAAGCTCAATATCCCTGAAACTTCACAAGCGACAGTAACTAGTTTTGCACGGCTTATAGAGAATTTGATACTCTTTTTAATGATGTATAATTATAGGCAATCTTCTCAAATATCATGAAAGATATGAGCAATTATTCATGAACATGTCAAGATTCCAAAAAATGTCCAGAGCCAAAAATTAGATTTCCTTTTAAAAAAAAATTTCTCATCGAAATTTTCAAATGTATACCGCTACTCATCCTTATCTGGAAGTTCAATTAGGCAATCTTTCCGCTCTAAACTATCTGCGAAAGCTTAAGCTTTTACTTTATATCAGAGAATAGTCAAACCAATTAAATCTGTGGAATAGTCGAATGATACTTCTGCTTCTCAAAAATGTTCCTTAAATTTTTTCTCTGAATTTCTGAATTTTTCCATCTCAATTTTTGTCTATTCCTGGCTCTTGATTTGTTCCTTCTATAAATATCTCTACATAAAGAAAATTCAAAAGCCTGGAATAGAAACAACATACTTAAGTCTACTTATCTACTCGATTTTCCCTAAATTTCTGCTTTTCAATGCTCAAAGTTTTCCGTCTAAATTTTTGCTCTTGAATGGTTTATTCCTAAATATCTCTATATAGAGAAAATTCAAGAGCCTGCAATAGAAGCAACATATGGGTAGGTACTTAAGTCTACTTATCTACTCAATTTTCCCTTAATGTCTGCCTTTCAATTCTCAAATATCTCTTCAAGAGCCTCTTAATACATATAAGAGCCGGTTTATTCACTTTCTAATAAACTGTCAGGTAATGCAATCTGATGGATAAAAACGCAATATGTAATCCCATTGGTCAACCAATTATCCAGTGACCAACAGGATTATAGATCTGTGAATTTATCTTGCAGATAGTTACCATAGCAAGTTCATCTCAAGATGAATAAACCGGGCATAAGATAGAGAACATTGGATGTTAGTGCATACAATTTTATGTCAAAAACAGATCTGCGGAAAAGTCGTCTGATCCTAATCCATTCAACTATTTAAAATGCTAGAGGATGTTTGCCAGCAGGTCTTTTTTCCTAATCCAACAAACATCCCAAGCAGCAAAGGTTAGTCGTTATGGTGTCGATTTTAAATAGATTTACTTCGATTAACCAAAATTCGACGTCAGAAAGAGGTTGCAAAATATGACTTGTTTGGGACGTCACATAGTGGACGTTTATTTGACCATGACATGAACCAACAGGTTCAAAAGTTACCATGTAAGCCCCAATATTACCCTTTCAGGAAAAATACCCTGTATTAAGACGTTCATGAAGCGTCCATTTGATGTCGTTGAATTGGACGTATATTTGGTTAGGGTGGATATTGATTGAAAAGTTATATATCTACATAGTAATACCAAATAATATTGTTCTTTTGCTTTAAGACTACTGTCTTCTTGCAAATTTTAGGATTTGGAAATACTGTGAAAAAAGAAACTTTAAAAATTTCTTATTCTCCCAGAACAAACCGCATCTCGTTATCTTTTCCCGTTTTTGAGATATTTGTTTGCAAAATGTGTCAGTTTATCTATAAGGACACCTTGCTGGGGAACTATGTAACGTATAGAGATATTTCCTCTACCTCTATTGACGTCCCTTCTCTATTGATTTCGAAAAGAGAGAAGACAGCAAGTGCCATAGAGATAGAAATAACGATCTCTATTTGTTACATAGTCCCCCAGCTGACTTCTTGAAAGTTTCAGATTCCCACCTGATTCTTAAAAAGTTCTATAAAACGTCAATTTTGAAGAAAAAATCTTTCAAAACAGAATTATTTCTCAGATTTTTCTCAAAATCAGTATTTGTATTAACTGTTTTGTAAGTCAAGAATAAACCATCACTTATCTTTTCCACCATCAAATTCTTGATGATTCTGTAGGTATGTTTCCAACAGGAAAATTCGTGAAAGTATAAAAGATACTGGCTTGCGGTTTTCACGATTCAAAAGAAAACATTTCAAAATATACTTCTTGAAAGTTTCAGATCTCCATAACTTCTTCGATCTATAAAATTGGATGCATGCAAGCTTCAAGGATTTCAAAATAAAATACGCCCACCAAAATCCCATTTAAATACGTACTATTTATTTGTCCGTTCCTTTTCCCGAAAACTTACAAAGTATGATGATTAACAGCTTTACACTAACTTAAAATCTTACTTACACTAAGCATTTATGTAAAAATGTGACT